TACTTTCTTCACCACGTCTAAATTTTTTGACTAAATATTATAATTATTTAGCCTAGACTATTTATCTTTTCAACAATTGTGATACTACTTTCTTCACCACGTCTAAATTTTTTGACTAAATATTATAATTATTTAGCCTAGACTATTGATCTTTTCAACAATTGTGATAATACTTTCTTCACCACGTCTAAATATTATAATTATTTAGCCTAGACTATTTATCTTTTCAACAATTGTGATACTACTTTCTTCACCACGTCTAAATATTATAATTATTTAGCCTAGACTATTTATCTTTTCAACAATTGTGATACTACTTTCTTCACCACGTTTTATCCACACCCACCCTGTCAACTTTCCCTGTGGGAGGAAATCTGAGCACCCGGAATAAACCCACGACTTTCGGCAGAGCGTTGACAGACTCTTTCCAAATAAGTAGCGAGAATCGAACCCGCCATCTCAGAGGTCTGACGACTAGTATAATATCCTTGTAAAACTCGATAATTCATGAAGAGATTAAAATCAATGTTTAATGAGATGCGTAGCAGTCGCTTTATTTTGTTGAAGGTTTTGAGGATTTTTGAATAAATGGCGGGTTAGATAATAAGGTTATTAGAATGTTAGGGTTTGTAATCCAAGTGATTATATACATTTTAAGACCTGACCACGAACGACTGCGAAAAATGCAGCACAAGGTCCTCTGGCAGGAATTGAACCTACGGCCCTGCGATTCTAGATGTTGTTTCCACATACAAAAAATTCTCCTAATTTGCTTAATTAAACTTTTTCCTCGATTTTCTGAATTTAAACTTTTTGAATAATTTCTCAAATCACAAGTGTTGAAGTTTAAGTTGAAGAGTGTATAGTTCATCCAATTTGAAATATTTTGAATTATTTTCCTTTTGCAATAAATATTGTGTTCTTGAAGAGTCTTGTTCAATGCGTGCACGAAAAATCTAAATCGGATCTAAAGCTCTCTTGACCTCCTTAACCCTTGGCACATACTTTTACATAAATCCGTAATTTATATTTATATTTGTGACAACAACTAATAACAAAGTGACTGCAAGGATTATTGCCATATTGGTATCTTACTAGACCACTTCAAAAGAACCGAGTGGATATACTAGCGAGGCCAAAATATGCAGTTCTAGTAAACTGCAAGAATTATGTCTCAAGGCATTAATAATTCATAAGAGATTCATTTTTATATTTATCTTAATAGATAAAAAATGTACATGTTATCGATCTTTTCACTCTACCGGATAGCTCTCTGTAACGATGTAACTGAAACGCCTATCCGTACCTTTTAGCCGTTTTAGGAACTCTATTTTCATAGGAATTATTGCAGCGGAGAGATGTTATTTTGCTCAGCTTATGAAAGTAGTACATTCCGTATCGCATAGGTGCTTTTTCACGCCGCAACGGACAGCTATATCCGGTATAATGTAAACCTAGGTTCATAAATTATACGTCAACTTTTGCCTTCAATTTCTCGTTGAAAATTGGTTCATTTGGTAAGGTGATTATCGATTAGGCTGTGTTCAAGCTGGGTGTCCGGCACTTGTTTTGTCGCCTAGTTTGAACACGATGCTTTCAAATGAAATTGGGCACAGTGCCCAAGAAAGGGCACAATTTCTAGAGGAGTACTCAACAACGGCACTGTGCTCAACATGTTTTGGGAACCAGTTTGAACATTGAGCACCACTTTGCCCGCCGTCAATTATATCACAAACAAAAAGTCGTTTAATTTATTATAGTGATTTCAAAGCACCTCAAAAAGTGCGTTAAAATACTCCGCTGTAGCGCCTCGTTTTTCAACACATTTTTCATAAATAAATAAGCTCCTTCTTGTGTATATGATATTGCGGATAATTGCTTCAAATTATCTATTATATAATCAATTATATAAACTTTTTAACTATCTGCAATGAGTGATACATTAGAACATTGTCAGTCACTTATTAAGTTAGCGCAAACTAATTTGCATAAGTTGCGAGTGAGCCATTCTTAAAATCTTATCACATACGTGTAACTCGGAAATACCTAACCAAAACCTTGTTACACTAACATTTTACTCCGCCTTTTTTCATAAATAACAAGTTGTCACTATGAAAAAGCTTTTAAGTCCTTTTAAGGGTTTTTAGCATAGAATTTCCGTAAACAGAGATGTTTACTGCGCCAGGAACAATGTACGACATTGCGTTTGCTGTGGTATTTCCCTTGTGGTGCGAGTCAGGCTTTTCGACGTCAAACTTGAGTAGATTTTCCTAGTGCTGATGAGTGTGTTCTATTCTTTATTCAAGCTTGCCCTGTGGCCAGGAACTCCAAGTAATTGTTCAGTTTTACGAGACGTCAACACAGCTTAATGAATAGCGCGTATCTCTTGAGTGTATATTTTGATGCTCTAAAGAGGTTACTGTCAGCTTTTTGAAATTTGGCAACATGTACTGACAGGATTCGATATCTTTCACCAGAACAGCTTGGGAGAATAGTGTGAGAATCCCAGTCACGGAGCTGGCGAGGCGAAAAGTACTTGCACTGAACACTGTATACTTGGAACAAGAGTGGGCGGACGGAGAGCACATACATTGTTAATTCCTTAATCTAGTCATAGAAATATTTGGCTCCATAAAAAAACCCCATATTATTCATGGCCTCTATTCCTCCCTTGGATTTGTTGGGGAAAATTTCAATTTTCGACCCATTTGACCACCGTGACTGTGGTCTTTTGCGGTGTTAATGAAGCAACAAAATGTCCCTCCTCTGATAAAATGTGATAATTAAAGTACATAATCTAAGTATCTAACCGTTGCGAGTTGTTGCCGTAATGGGACAGCGATTAGTGCATTACACCTCTGTGGCCATGAAATATTCAGTTCTCTGATTATAATTTCACCTCAGTCACATGTGTGAAGAATGTTTCCAATTTCTAACAAACACCGGAGGATTTCATCGATTTCCTCCTGCATAGTAACACTATACGAATACAAGATGACCCTTACTGGAACCTCGAGAGAGTTTAGAACCGATAAAGCCATCACTACTGTGTAAATAAAGTTAGTTTAGTTCGGTAAACATATCATTTACAAATCCCACCATCATTAAATCTTAAATCTCTTTATTTGTACTAAGTTCTTCTTGTTGCTAATAACAAGTCTTGTGAAAAACAACTGAACATGTGACTGCCATGGACTTCATAATCAGCGTTGACATATATTTGGCATACTCGTGCTATATTTATGATCTCAATCCTGCTCGTAGGATATCTATAGAAATTGTTTTGTTTCCCAGCTTCCGGATTTGCTGAGGAAAAACATGGGAAAATGAGCGCGACTCTTGTTGAGTATGTGAAAACTGGCTCAGACTAGAGGGGTTTCACAATTGAGATTGCCGTTGGCAATAGAATACATTTTAATAAATGCTTGCCTCTCCTCAGAAATGTAAGAATGGCAACTTGTGGAGTTCAATTAATGGAAAACATAGACTAAGTCAATTATTTCTATAATAGATATATCAGTTTTGTCCAATTTCTTCTCCCCAAGAGGTCCATACTGTACTGTCTTACT